ATATGCCACCTTTCAAAGAGGCAATTTTATTTATTATAGCAGAAGTCAGAGGAATTAACTTTTAAAAAATATTGTTAATAGAAAATTTCAAGCTACAAATCTCCTGCTGCAGTTCCACAGAAAGCTATTTGTTAGCTCCTAGGAGATTCCTGATTTTGTACCATAGCGAACAGATAAAATGAAAAAAAAACAGGTCAGAGGTGGATACAGACTCTCTCAATCAGGAAGAAAAAATAAGCAAACAAACTAGCAATGAACAGGCTAAGCATGAAAAAATGTAAACAGAACAAGCAACTGCAACACCAAACCCAGTCATTTATCGCCTCTCTACTACTTAAATAAGGCCTTTGGCAAGTATTAGGGATAAAGCAGTACATTTTCTCTGTACTGAAACTGGTAGCCTCAGAGGAGACAAATTAAAGGTCCTGCCAGGCAGGTTGATAAGAATCAGCTAAAGAGAGGAAAAGGTACTCTTGAGGTTAGAAGTCTTATCAATACTAACATTATCTAAGGCCTACAGCACTGCCAGGTCTTATGACATTCCCAACACATTTTCTAAAAAGAATAGCAAATAAAGGTCTTTCCCAACAGGGCAGAAATCTAACAGGTAGGCTACCTTACGCCTTCCATATGACGATAAAAGTCTACTTCTATAACTTTTCTGCCATGCCAAGATTATGATTTCTGGGTTTGCCCACAGTGTTCCCTCATTTTATTCACTTTGAAACTGACTCCTGCAAGTCTTACATGTCAGTCTTGTACAAAGACAGAAAACATTTGATTTTCCTCTGCCCCTTTGATCCATCATTCAAGGCCCTGAATTCGCAATACTCTATAAATCTGAGCCCATCAAATGTGATCAAATCCATCAAACGCTGGTAGGTGGGTGAACTGCAACAATCAGCAAAATACCTCACAGAAGACAAACACAATTTGTGAAGTCATGATCTGCAGTGCTCGGCATGGCTAAGATTCCTGGGATTCCTCAAGAGCCATAAGGAAAACCAAGAACTCTGGTACAAGCCAAAAGCACACTTCTGTTTATTCATTACTTCTACAAGCTGGACATGGACAGCATAGAAGGACAAAATACAGACATGGGATTAATTCCCATTGTGTTGTATCAAGTCCTGTTCTCAGGAGAGAAACTGTATGACAATAAGTACATTTGTTTGCTCAGACATACCTGTTAGACTATTCATAAAATATCCTAAAATAAATAGTCACGCTCTAAGGGCACCAAGGACACTTACACAAATTCTCAAGAAAATTCACCCCACTTAATCCTGGCCTACATTAAATCCATATCCTTTTGCTATTGTATCACTGCACCTTCCCTGTTCTTCCACAATATTCATTATAATCAGTACCATAGGCCTTGACTACATATACCTTAAAGCAAGAATCACTGCTTCTTTGTGTGTTTCAACAGCTACCAATGGAGTCTCACACTGATTACGGCTTCTGGAAAGCCACTGGAAAACTTATATTTTAAGCTGTGTTGTATTTATCTGCCAACAAACCCGGTTATATTTCCAAGACAAAAACTGTTTGTGTGTCTTGAGCATGGCAGAATCACATCTAAATTATCTTCAACGCTGAGTTGCAAGCTAATATTTAAATTAAAAGTCACTGTTTTATCCCTCCTGACAATCATTTTTCAGTTAGAGGGGTTTTTTTTTGGAGTTTAATTAATATATGTTAATTGCTTGAAAGAGGAAAAAATCAAATGTGCATTTAGCAGCTTTATATCATCCCATGTTATACCATAAGAAGTCTCTGTCTTTACCAAAAAAGGGCTGATTTTATCACATGGAGGTCAGTGGTTATCATCACGCTTACAATGAATTCCAAATATTCCAACATATGTATAATCAACATGTGAATCCTTTTTTACCACAATATAAAGAAATTAAGGAAGTGGTATATACAAGCAGTTTGAGTGTTGTATACTTGTGTCTGCAGTCACATTCATACACTCACAATTGGTAACATTTTAATACTAAATTTACCCTATATTGTCTGTCTACATGCTCAAAGCTTGGGCAACATTAAATACTCAGTTGCTGCCCCTGCAGCTTCCATATAATGCATTCCCACAAGGACTGCACCTAACTGAATTTGCTCTTACATGAGAATGCATTTCTTTACTGTATCATACTCAGCAGACTACACAGGCTCAGAGCAGCAGCTTCTGAGTATTTTTATGGGGGGGAGCAGGTCACACTTTATACTGGCACAAATGCTTGGTTTTCACAGCTTCTGTCACCACTGACAGCACTTTCAGGTAGGTGCAAGCAATGTCATAAACAAACAAGAGCCACATACACATATTTGGATTTAAATTGCTTGCTCATCCTTATATAGGACCAAGTAAAGTCAATCCTCATTTCTCTTTTCCTTTAGCTTAGTGTATCATTTGCTCCTTTCAATTTCAGCATAAACCAGCCTTCAGGCACTAAACAACACTAGTTGAATCACCAAGCACTGTTTATTACAAGCTCTAAACAAATAGATTTCTGTATGGAAAAATTGATCTAAAATGATAAAATGCAAAAGGAACTCAAATTTAATTTAAGGAAACTTGTCTCACATATGTCTTGATTCCTGAATATTTTGACTGTTAACATCATTCGAGATGTTATGGATACTAAAGATTTTACATGGGCTCAAACAACAGGGACACTTCATAGAAGAAAAATCCATGAGGTCCTGTTAGGTAAAATACCATAATTTCTGGTTCTGGAACTCCCTGAGCTGTGAATCACTACAGGCTGGAAGAAGCTGGAACAGGTTGCCCAGAGAGGAGGAAGGAGCTCTTCTCTGCAAACCTTCAAGGGTTGGGTTGGACAGGGGTCTGAGCAACCAGTTTTAGTTGGAGTTGCTCCTGCTCATTGCAGGGGTGCTGGACTAAGCGACCTTTAAAGGTCCTTTTCAAACCAAACTGTTCTAGGATTCCATGAAAAGTATCATGGGGAGGTACCACTGTGCTTCTACCCTGCTCTTACTCTCATCTCAAGGTATCTGCTGCTTAGCACCACTGAGGACAGCACACCAGCCAGATGAACTTTGGTGTGATCCAGTATCACTCACATTCTCTCTCAAACAGCACCATGTAGAGTAGCAACACTGTCATGGCTTTTCTAGGTGGTTTACAACTATCCCAACAATAAATGTGATTAAAAATGTCATACATAATACTAAGGATTTACGACATAAATTCTAAAGTTTGACAGCACCTTGCCAATGTAATCATCTTTTAAGGATGTAAATCAAATGGTTCCAGAATGCCATATCTCATGTACTTTCTTTACTTGCTAACTATGAATTAACTTTAAAACTTTACATATTTTATTTCAGTAAGACCCAAAAGGATCTTGTTATGCTAACATGCTGAATAAAAACATAAAATACATCATCTTTGCCTCAGAAGTACTTGATGTAGGCCAAGAAACAGTAGATTAACAGAAAAAAATTAAATACTAAATATCCTGAATTACCTGAGAGGTAGTTTGGAAAAGGCCATCTGAGTTCCACAATGATTTTGAGAAAAAAGTGAATAAGTAAACAGTGTAACTGAGGGCTGAGAGTCCTCCTTTATACGCCCCAGGGTAACCAACTACCATCACTCAGAGAGTGAATCCATACCCAGTTTGATTCCATAAAATGGGTTGAGAACTTATCCTGTCAGCATATTTAAACAGCTCACACCATACAGTAATTCATTCTTCTGGCTGAAGCAAAAATACAAACAACTAAACACGTGGCCATCTTACACAACATTCACAGAGCACAGAGGAGGCACCAAGTGAACAGCAGACAATTCAACCATTCAAACACAAACCGAAACAAAACAAAACCAAGAGTGCACCCTTACAACTAAAAAACCAACTAAACAGAAGTATCAAAATTCTGATTCATTTTAGCAGCTAAAATCTCAATATCTGATTTACAAGAGACACTGCATAGCAGTGAATCTCAGTCTTGTAGTGGTATAAAATACCAATCTCTAGGAAGTATCCCTTCTTATCTTAAAACTGCACCACGATTCACACAGAATCAGTGAACAGGTTTTACCAATTAAATAAGAAGAACTGCAAGCTGTAAAACACACCTTGTACAGACTTGTATTCAGTACAAGTCTGCAGACCATAACATTCCTAATGTCAGTCTTCTGACATGCTTAGGCCAGAGTAACAGAAGGAATCTCCATTTTACAAAAAATTCCCTGCTACAGAAAACAAAACCCAAACCCTAGCTCTAGCCAGACATAACTACACACTTCTGACAGTATTTGATGCTGAAAAGCAATTCAAAGAAGTCAGATACTAGAACAAGCTGACATCTCCATGTTTAAGTGTCCAAGAAGTACTTTCAAGAAGACATTTTAAACACCCATTAGCATTAGAGTTTTGTTTAGGAAATGCTTTTAAGAAAAGTAGGAGTTTGAAACTCTTTCACATCTTTCACATGAGCCATCTCCTATCTGTGCCATTGCCACTTAACAAGTGCATTCCAGTCCCAGCACTACTTATTTCATGTGCACCAGAGATAATCCTACTTTTTATGGACTATTTTTATGACTGCTTAGTTTATGTAATTGGAATCAAATAACAAAAGATCTGGAAAATGTGTCACAAACTTTTCAACCAAAAGAAAAGAATTCAAACTAAAGGCAGACAAACAATAAATTGAAACAAACAAACAAAAAAAAAGGTTGAGAAATAAATAAAAACTCTAAAACAACAGTGCAAAGAACATTACATTTCTAAACCTCTCCCTCATCATTTTATTTCCCTTCTTTAAAAAAAAATATTAATAATTTAAACTTTTGAGCACAGCAGATAAACAGTTATGAAGTTATTTTTTAATATTATGATATTCTACAAAATATTTTAAAAGACACTTTTTTAAATTTACCAATTTCTTAATATGCAAAACTGAATATGTGCAGAAATAAGTAATTTCTTAAGTGCGTCAAAGAAAATGTCTGTACTCACCAGCACTGCCACTCTCTGATTTTTCTTCTGATTGGTTTTCTGGAAAAAAAAAATAAACAGAAAAGTAATCATAATGTTTCCGTATTGATTATTTGAAATTACATCCAACAACTGGGATGCAAAATAAAGAATGATAAATTATGATAAAATAAAAATCACTGGATTTGATTAATGCTTATAAATATACCTTCTGAGGAATAATTTGCTACCAGGAGCAACAAAAAAAAAAAAAGTCCTTTAGTGCCCAAACTTACAACTTAAATGAGAAAACTCTATTGCACCTCTGACTGAGCTCTGCGAGAACAAAGTTACACATTTATACAAAATCAGTAGCAGGATTATGCTCAAGCAATGTACATTATTCATTTATCTCACCAGTTAGCCTAGACAAACATTTTTGTATATTACAAAAATAATCAGGTTTCTGCCAGAGAATATTCTTAATTGGCATTAGGTAATTTTTTTACCTTGGTCAGCCTCTTCTCTACCCTTTTTACAGGCCATGGAAGAATTTATTTATTCAAGCTTTTTCCTCTGTGATTATTTGTCCTACAATGACACTATAGTCCCCTGGAATTTTTTGTCAAGTGTTTGTACTTGTCAAGTACAACAAATAATCAGAAACACCTCCCCGTTCCACATAGCAGAGAATTATATGTATGAAACAGACACAGTGTTGCAAATTGACTTGCTAAAAAATTATCACTAGTGAATGGCAGAGTCAGATTCAGAAGCAGCTTTCTGCAAGGAATTCCAATCCCACATTTCAAGGAATGGCTGCCAGTAGATGTATTGTGGTAATCTGAGTTATAACGCCTACCAAGTCCTGTACGATTAAACCCCGCCATTAATTTGTCAGTATTATATTTGACTGCTACTCCTATATTTTTCCTTTTTATGCATCCTCTGATGCAGAGAACAAAAAGAACATTTTCACTTCCCTGAAACACAGTTAGAAATGCTAAAACATACTTGTCCTTTGCTTTCAACTCAGGCAAGTTACAGCTGTCATTACAGGCTATTTACTTACAGGCAAGAGTGAATTACTGCTCTAACTCCGAGAGTAATTTTCAGTTCAGTTAGGTTGAAAATTTCTGCCATTTACAGGCTGGGTAGTAAAATAACTGAAAACATGAAATATTTTAGAAAATCATTTTCTTGCCACTGATTCTTGCTGGCTTTGAAGGCTTCTGCTCCTCTTTTCTCATTGAGATGGCTTGAGAGCCTGAGGACTAAAGGCAAACATAAAAACCAGTATCTTACAGCTCCTTCTGTCTTTACACCAGGTGGCTGTCATTAGCCTCAGCAGCTGAAGGCACCTGCTTTCTCTTTGAGAAACAATCATTATATGGCCCCTTCCCAGCCATGAGTATTCACAAAGTGAGTAAAGACCCTTGCCAATTTTCAGACGTATATCCAGGATAGCCTGTTTACAGAATAATCAAGCACTTTCTCCTTGATGTAATTTTTTGTGCATATTTGGCACATTTACAGCATGACATAAAACAAACGCCCAACCAATACCTTAACTCAACTGTAGTTTAACAAAGGAAACGTTCAACATTCAGTACACACACAGGAAGCACAGAGGATGAAATGAAGAACATGCAAACATACAAAGATACAAACACCTGTCTGAAGTGAGAAGCGAGATGGAACTGGACTTAAAGCTGTTCAATTTCAACTCAGTTTCAACGTAAGACCGACACTATTGCCAAAGACATCACACTTGAACATTGCTAAGAGCCTCTCTGATTCAAATAGCAATAAATGTACTTCAAGTCTACAGGGAAAGTGTGTGTGTTTGTATCTGCCCTCAACAGCGGAGACAAAAAGCTAGACAAAATTCAAGTCTTGCAAAAAAGTGCCATTTTTCTTCCTCATCATTAGACAACTCAGTTTTGTTATGATTAGGTCACAAATTCTGCTTTAAAAATCTTCTCAGCATTAATATAATGAACGTGGTAAAGGAAGTCTACTGAAGTCTATATGCCTACTGAATATATTTTATTAATGCAGACTAAAGCTGCTCAGCCTCCTCTACAATATGCAGGAGTTGACAAATGTCAACAGACTGGGGTTGGTAAGTGGGGTTTTTTGATGTTAGTGGGTTTTTTGCTGTCATTGTGGCAGTGGGTGGTGGTAGGGTGTTGTTTTTTTACACATACATCAGTGAGACTGGAAACAAAAGGTATTTTAAATCAATGAAGTTTGCAAAAAGACTATTCCCATCACATGGAGCCCATTCTAACAGACCATATATTTTGAGTGTTACATCCTCAATTGTTTAAATTTGTACAAGAATTAACAGTCTATAATTTTAATAACAGAAATGAAAATAAAATTAGCTTATCCCTGCCAGCCAGCTGAACCTGCTTTACAGTACTTTTTTAACTTTCCAACAAGCATAAGTAATTAAATAAATATAATTTCCATTTTTTTGAGATGGAGAAGGGGTATTATATAAGCAACTGCAATTGTTTTCTAAATGGACTGTATATCTCAATAATACACACAAAATTTTGAGCCATCAAAATGATGTCTGTAATTAAACTAGCTTGAGCCTCAAATTCTCCTTTTCTGATCAAGGGTTTCATCTTTATGATTCTCAAAAATATTTGGAAATTTGCATAAGTGCTATAGATTTGAAAGGCTGCTGTTGGTTCTATTACTTTTGATCATGAGGCTGCTGATAGATTTTCTGCTTCTGCTAACAGTGCAGAAAAGAGTGAAGTAGAAAACAGAACAAAGAAGCATTAGCTTAGATCCCAAAATCTTCTGGAAACTGGAGTATGTGGTTAAGTGACAGCTTGAACAGAAACAACTGGAGAGTACTGTTAACGTAGACAGGTACACATCAAAACTCCTCATCAGGCCCCACTAAAATGGCAGAACAGTGAGAGTGTTTATTTCCTAAATAACAGTTTAATGAGGAATTTCAGAATTCAGACACTTATGTAATAAAATTGGAAACAGTATTACAAGGCATCAAGATTCTGAGCACACTGTATTTTACTGGGAATAATTAAGTGCAATTAAATAAGTAACTGCTTTAATGAAAGGTTTTTATTAGGGTTTGTTCCCTTCACATTTCTTTAATGGGTGGACAGCTGATATTTAAAAATACATATATACAAAATACAGAATAAAAACATCTGAATATTCATTTTCACTGACATACAATTGCAAATTGTATGCTATATGGTAGGTGTGATTCTTGTACAAACTCAGAAAAGGTCCTTTCATGTATGAGAAGCTTTTGTGTAAAGGAAAAAAACCCAAATAATTCAAAACAATGGGAGAATTTTCAAGGAATGTGGGAATAAAGGAACTGTTCTTCGGTATATAGGCAGAGTTATGTGTATTATTGAACAAGAACACAAAAAATAATTTAGTGTCACTAACTGAATTTCTGAAGGAGAGAAGGCTTAGGAAACTGAAGAAAAACAAAATACTAAAAGCCAGCAATGTTCTGTGAAGCATGAAACAGTGGGACAATCCATGCATGAATGCTGCTCAGAAGCAAAGCTCTGATATGTGTTCTGTCAATGGAATTCTCTGAACACTTTTTACTTTCAGTAAGATGGAAAGAGCATGAAAGAATTTAAAGACGCAAAAATAGGCATTACGGCTATCCCACTTGTGAAGGGGGAGTTGTGAAGATATATTCAAAATTTAAATAAAATGAATCATCTCATCCTACTTTACAGAAATATCTTACACTTTAGCTGTGTCTACAGTGTAAAATCTTCTCCTCCACCCATCAGTCCTTAGAGTCTGGGATGCAATTGCCTGCCAAGGTCTGTGTTTTCAAAAGTCATATTAGTAGCACATTTTTCCAAAAACCAGTTCAGTAAGAAACTTTTGCCATTACCTCTAACAAAGCTGCAATTTTATTTATACTAAGATCCAGCAAACCTAAACTATGTGCTGGCAGAAAAATTAAGCAATGGGCAACTAAAGCAGTAAGGAAAGTAATGTATAATCATAATCAGAAAAGTTTGCAGTTAAATGTTTAACAAAAGTGTGTTCCCATTCCTTCAAAGAAGGAAAAAGCAGTTAAATTACAGTATTATCTTAAGCTAGGGTGTCTGCCACCAGGAAGTGCAGAAAACTATTTTAAACAAATATACCCTATGTATCAGGCCTATGAACTGCCCCTAGATAGTTTCTAGCTATATGCACATATAAAGAATTCATTTTGTTCAATAAGACATGAAAATATATGAAAAATCTTTGCTTTTCACCCGCCAAAAACCACAGCTATGATAGCTGATGACAAAGATGAGATAAAACGACTGGAAGCACAAATAGCATTGTAGCATAGCAACTGTTGATGTACATATGGTGATGTTTATGGAACAGAATGTAGTTCATATTTAATGCAGAAATAACACCAAAACCAGCCTAGACAGCAAGACCTAGACAGCAAGAGACAAGTGTGCTTTGGATCCCTCTGCAGACATGATGGAAGCCATGCTTCCCCCCAGCTTTGCTACACTCATGCTCAAGAACGCCACCACAGGCCTCAGTGATCTGCCCAGCGATGGAGACAATGCAATGTCCACACATGCAACAGCCTTGCAAAGGAACTAGGGAGGTACTTTGCAACTACCACCTTCAGAGTACTCAGTATTACTCACTGGAGCTATTTCAAATTACAGAAAAAGGAAAAGAAAAGAAAATAAATGGGAGAAATCCCAGAGCTAATCAAGCAGAGGACACAGCACCAGCCCAGGCCAGATTTTTAACAGTATGTGGGGTGGGAGCCACTTTACCAAGCTTCCTATTAGCTCAGATACACAGTGCAGAAGAGCAAGAAACTGCAATTCTTTACATTTTGGACACAATAAATTGTAACTTAGAAGAGCCTACTGCTGTCCATTAAGAAATATGGGACCACCAGAGATGCAGACATTTACAATGAAAGAACTGAAGGATTTCTTCCAGCACTACAAGTAGGAGAGGCATAGTTCAGTTAAAAACAAAACCCATAGAAAATCCATTCAGAAGACTAGAAATTACATCATGCAGAAAATATTAAATTATTTGTCAAATTTGATCTTTTTTGCTTGCTCTAAATGACCTGATGAGTCAATGTGAAGTGCTGAATTATCCAGAATATATAAACTGCCTACAGCATCTTCCAAGATCACAGCATATTTCAGAAAAGCCATCAAAAAGACAGTCCCTGCAATATAAGGATCCCAGCATTAAAGGACTACACAGAGAATAGATCTTAGGATATTCAATACACCCAAAAAACAGTGGAGGGGCGAAAAAAATCACAAACCTACAATCAAAAAAAAAAAAACCCACCCCACCTTGTACAAAACAAACCCAACTGCTTTAAGCCATTTGCTCTAGTTGATTTAAGTGAGTCCTCAGTAAGGCTACTGACTGAAAGCAATAATGCATGAAGCACTTTTTTATCCATATTTCATTGCCTAATTCCTCAATTGCACCCTTCTAGATGACATCTGCAGTTCCATGCCAGCTTAATCTTTGGCCTATGGTTCAAACTGATATATTCCTTGTGTTACATGATGCAGATAAAAAAAAAGAAAAAGGACAAGATGCTTTTCAGAAAAAAATATGCTAATTATAATATGAAGACTCATAATGATCTGTGAACCTAGGAATGAATGAATTTCAATTTCCTATTATTGCCTTACTGTGGATCAACTGATGTGCAAAGGTATGTAAGTTCTTACTGGGTGTTTTTTCATGGCCAATATAGTGGGTTTTTCCATGGGGATTTTTTGGCATCCAATACAGTAGCAGCCTTTCTTTCAATTGGGACATCTGTACAGTCCACCCTTCAGATGCCTGTTTTCCCACTAGCCATAATTCACTTTGAAATTTGTTGAAAATGGACACTGAAGTCAAAGCATGCCTACACATTTAAGCACATGAGTGTAACCTCAGAAACATGGAGCCTGTAAGGAATCTGACTGGAATTTGGACTATTTGTGTCATGTTCATTTTTCAAAGCAAAAAAAAGTCAAGCAAGAAAAGCAAAATAAAGTACATTTTTGACTGTACTGTCACTGTACCAACTTAAACGCAATAGCAAAAGATTTCAGCCATTTTGCATTTAAGTCAGTTTCAGGAAAACTCATTGACTGCATGTTATGCTTGCTAATCTCAAACAAAAACAATTTTGACAGGGTCTATGCTTATTTAGTGCTTCATCCCAATAATTTCTCATGTAACTAACCACCCTACGCTCCCAGCTAAAATAACTTCGGCTCAGTAATCCACAATCCTCAAATAACTGTTTCTAGTTGCTGGGAAATGCAAAATTTTAAATTGATTAAATAAAAAAAAAATGAACAGAAGAAAAATCAGCACTCTTATAAAATTATATTCACAGCAGAGACCAATTCAAGGAGAAAAAACCAAATACTAGTTCATACAAAAAATACACAGAAACACAAAACCATGTTTTTTGAGTCAAAACCCTAAAGGAGAATGTACACAATGTACTGCACTCTATTGCATTCCACATTCCCCCTGCTCTCTCAGGCAGACTCAGAGCTGAAATGTACATGATAACCCCAGAGAACTTAAATCAGTTGCTTGATCACACTAAGTAAACAGACAGACACAAAAAAAACTTACAACAGTGTTACCTACACGGAAAGCAACAAAGCAGCCAAAATCTGACTTGGAGTCTTCTGTCTTTTACAGCACTGAGTTTATTGAAAGCAGACATACCAGTAAAGTCATAACAACTTTAATTCTAACTTACCTACTGAAGTTTCTGTGAACACTGTTAAGGTCTGTCCTCCCACACTTTGCAGAAGAAATGGATGTTCCCTTGGTGCACTGACTGAAGCAGGCTTTCCTCCAATATCACTGATGCTTGCAAGCTCTTCATTCAAAGTAAATGACACCTAACAGTCACAATTGCCACAGTGTTACCAAACAGACTCAATTACACTGTTTCCCAGGTTATGGGGAAACAGAGAGAAAACACAAGTAGTACAGTATATTTCTATTGCAAAAATAAAGGGTGATGTAGGAGTCCTTCCACACCGATCTCTTGTTGAAATACAGAATTCAAAGCTTTCATGTACTTAATAAAATTTACTCAGCTTTCAAAAAGTTGTAGATTACCTCCTCCTGAAGTCAGAGAACAACTTGATTTTACTTGTTAAAATATATAGCCTAATAGGTTTTCAGCCATTGCTCAGTATGAGTGCTAAAAAATGTTTTGCACAGCCAGATGAGTTCCAGAAAAAGTGCTGAAGTGCCACAACAAGTGTTACTAGCCTGGGACTCCTGAATTGCAGACAGCCCAGAAGAGGTTTAAACACAGCTCCTTTGCCATGTTCACAGTGTACTCTCAATAGAGAAGCTAAGGAAGTTTGAAGAGGGATACTTCACACCAGCAGCACGTGCTTTTCGTGTGCATCCTCCTCAGCCTTTTGTACTAACACATCTCAAAGTGTCTGAAGAGAAGGTAAACAAAGTGAGGGAAGAGAGAGACCCGACGCAAGCCCCACAGGCATCTCTGGGCAGAGCTACTAACAGAATCCTCTCCTCCTGATTCTGTGGTACATCGCTTCGCTAGAGGTATAACAACAAATATGTGACATTAGAAACCAGCACATTCTAAACAGTTTTTAGAATTCAAACATAAACTTTAACAATTACTTACTTCCGTTCTTCCTTGATTTCTGAAAAAGAAAACATTTAATATTTACTAAATATAGAAATATTAAAAAATATTTAACAACATTTCCATAGCCTAATTCCTCAATTCTAGCTTTCTTGATAAAAAAGCACATTCAAATTCTAGTTTTGTTATTCATCTTCACCCCTGAGCTATTCAATTTTTTGTTATGATGATGCCCAAGAGTAAATGGGAAAAGTCAGCATGAATAGAGGACAGAAGCAGCAAAATAACATATATAAATAAAAGCAAATTCTGCAATTAGGTTTTCTTAAACCTAGGAAATCAAATCTCATGTAATGCTACAGAGTGACTCCCCAGTATAATTTTGTAAAATTTATATTCCTAATCACTACACAAGCAAACACTGTTCGTGTATCAGAGAAATATGCACACTGTTGGCAAGAAAAAGGATTATGTCTCAGAACAGGTGCAACATATTCTTATTTTACATGGGTAACTTCTAAGAAATATAACCAGTAAATGTAAAGGCTTACTTGACAATCCTTAGTTTTCCCACTTCACCTCTTCCCGAAGCTTTACTCCACTGTTGTGACAAGTATTTGGGGACCTAAGAGAAGACAACAGATTTCAAGAAAAGCAGATTTTAAAATTCTGTACAAACTGTGTATGGGTAAATACTTTAAATGCTTTTACCCTGACCACTTCAGAATAAAGTATGAGCTAAATCTAGTAGACAATAGAGAGTCATGGATGATTTTGGTTGGCAGGGGCCTTAACAGACATCTAGTCCAAACCCCCTGCAATGACCAAGGACATCTGCAACTTGATCGGTTTGCTCAGAGCTCTATCCAAACTGACCTTGAATGCTTCCAGGGATGCCACATCCACAACTTGTCTGGGCAACCTGTGCCAGTGCCCCACCACCCTCATTATTAAACATTTCTTCCTTAGATCTAGTCTAAATCCACGTTCCTTTAACTTAAAACCATTATTCCTCGTCCAGCTGCTATAGGCCCTACTAAAAAGTCTGTCCCCATCTTCCTCATCAGCCCCTTTGAGGCACTGGAAGGCACCTGTAAGGTCTCCCTGGAGCCTCTTCCCCTCCAGGCTGAGCAGACCCAGCTCTCTCCATCTGTCTTCACAGAAGAGGTGCTCCAGCTCTCTGATCATCTTTGTGGTCTCCTTAGTACCTGCTACATCATGTCCACATCCTTCTTATGCTGGGGGCCCCAGAGCAGGAGGCAGCAATCCAGGGGGGTCTCACCAGAGCAGAGCAGAGCAGAGCAGAGCAGAGCAGAGCAGAGGGACAGAATCCCCTCCCTTGACATACTGCCCATGCTGCTTTTGTTGCAGCCCTGGACAGAATTGTCTTTCTGGGCTGCAAGTGCACATTGCCAGGTCATGACCAGCCTCCCATCTACCAGCATCCCCTCAGAGCTGCTCTCAGTCCTTTCCACCCTATGCACTGATACTGGGGGTTACCCCAGCTCAAGTGCAGGACCTTGTGCTTGGCCTTGTTGAACTTTCTGAAGCTCATGCAAGCCCACTTCTTGAGCTGTTATATACATATACATGCACACACACACTTATGTGTATATATATTCAGTTAGAGAGAGCAAAGAGAATAACGTAGCCCAAAAATAACACCAATGTAGAGTCTCTAATGAGAGAAAAATCTTAGTAACTTCAATCTCAAATACTATTATCCAGTCATAAAAGGCAGAAAAAGATCAGCATCAAATTCTTAAACTAAGGAGTCTCAATATTTTATTGGGTAAAATTATACTTTTAAATATTCATTAGAAACTATCATCTCTCTGGGAAAAAAAATCAACCAACCAATCACAGTGATAAGAAGTTAGGCAATTTCTGCCGTGAGGGTAAGGCTTAGAGTCAGGGAATCTCAGACATGTTGAGCAGTAGACCACAGCTTATTGCCACTCCTCCAACAGCAGAACCACCCAAGGCAAATCTGCCTCCCATCACTCATTCCCAGCTCTTCAGCGCATTGGGCAAAGACCTTGTGCAGCTGCTCAGTACATGAAAAGAGCAGACTGGTCTAGCTAGGAGGAGTGGGTGACTTCTACGTTTTAGCTGTGCTGATTTTGTGTTTAGCAGGTGGAACAACCAACGCAGCTCCCCAACCCCTTTTCCAGAACAGCTGCACAAAGTAGTGATTAGTCCAGGGACAGGAACAAGACCAGCATAAATTGAGAATTAAAAGCTGCTGCAGTTCTGTTACCTCACCTACACACCAATTCCTTCAGTTGCAAAGGCTGTGGTATCTGCAGCATTGGGTGACCTTGGCTTAAAAGGCTCTGGCAAGCAGCACACTCCTCAGAATTTTACAGCCATGTTCTTTACTGGCACGGCAAAGTTTGTCCTGGCTCACACAGTCCACAGCTACTGAAAACATCTGTGCCCACACAGAAAAACAGTGTGAGGCACAGCCACAAAGAGAAATACACTAAGCTGTGCCTGGGGCATTTTCTGTTTCAAGCAGCAAAGAAGCACTTTGAAGCCTAATTTTTTTCTTGCATAGAGTAAAACTAAGCCAAGCTGGGGAGAAAAAGAGCCTGTTCCAATAACTTGCTGACAAAGAACAACCTCCTAACTTCCTAAAGCTCAAATTAAATTAACACTAACTTTGCATGTATCAGTTCTTCAAGAACTCCAGGACTTGGAACTAGTACTTAGTTAGCACTTAGCTTTAGACTCACAGCACCCCATGAAGTACATGTAGAATAACTACAAAATCCAGATGCCTCCAACTGCTCAGACAAAATAAATGGTAGTCCAGGTTCCCATAAAGTTCAGACAACTTTGGTCAAAAATATCACAAAAGCACAACAGAAAGCCATGAATTGGCACAATCTATTGATATATCTATTTCCAAACTGGTAACTTTCTACAGCAGATTCCATGCCAGATCAGATACTGTTTTCTTTCTAAAGTCAAGATAAATGTTGTGACATGATCCAGCTACTCAACAGAAGTATTATTACATGCTTGTACCTAATCTCTCTTTATACTGCCAGACAAAAAGGTAGATGCCCATTCAGTATGAGTGGACAAGGAGTGAAGGGCTCTTATGGTGTTAAAATCATTGACTTGCTATGTAATATATTCAGACTGGGAATTAAGTCAGATTAAGACGTTGCAGATCAATCATACTGCATGGGAAAGTCTCAAAGAGTGCATTTAATCATCTTTCTGCTGGCCTACCTGCAGTCAAGGCCCATGCAGAGAAAGACAAAGGGTTTTGAAGGGCTGTGATCAAAGGATTACTTCCAGCTATCCACAGGTACTTCAGATAAAACTGGGTGTTACTCACAAACCCACATGCTAATGACGTAAACAATGAGGAAAGACTAAATAAATCTTAAATGCCATAGACATCTTATTTTGCACCTTTCTTTTAACTTAACATAATACTTATGGTATAAGTGTCAGGTTTCAAAGTCGTAACAATCCTTGAAAGAACACAGAAAACAAGAGCAACCTGTTTTTACAGGGCAGAATTTTCACAGATCCCACAGGAAGATTTTGAAAACTACATATGCACAGAAAGAGCACCGTGGACCGAGTGCCTGCCCAACTGAAAGGCAGCTGGATGCAGCCTTTCAGGACAAGTGGTCTTTATTCTGGGATTTGCAGGTAAGAACACTCTTCTCTCCAAAAGAGAAAAAAATGGAGTTTAATCACTAGAACAAATGTGATGTACTAAGGAGCATCACTTCAAGCCCTCTTCCCATTGCTGTTCTCCTCTTGCTACTCACATCACAGCCCAGGCTGCAGTACACCAGGCACGCTACAGGCAGTGAAGGACACGAGTGCCCCTGCTCCACTCCTCTTTCAGCCTGGGCACAGCTTCCTCCCCGCTGTAGAAGGGAACACACAAGCAGCCCCTCTCTGTAACACACTACTTCCACTTTTCTGCAAGAAACTAAATTAGCTCTTTCTCTATATAGCAATACATACGCAGTGCATACAACAGAAACTAAGGCTGATGTCAGATTCCATGTTTAAATTTTTCTTTGAACATAGAAAAAATAATTAAATAAAGATATCCTCTTTCTAGCTATAGAACCATGCAGCAGATTAAATAAAAAAATCTGACCAACACACTCAGAGAGCAAGAAATTAACATTCTAATGGCTAACACTAAATGGGTTTCACTTTACCACAAGTACATAACCGAATACTCTTACTATTTCTCTACCTTAAAGAGGTAAAACACACTGAAAACACAGAAATAAAAATCTAGTGGCTTTCTGGATTTGTACTAAAGCAACTCACTCTCTTTATGGTACCTCCTTTTACTGCTCATGCTTCTAAAATACTCATCACTACATTTTTTTATTGCCTGTTAAGTAGTCTCTCTGGAATACTTCCTGTGCTAGCACAATGCACGCTAAAAGGAAATCAAATAAGCCAGGTTTTTTATTCCATCAGAGCTGAATGCTCTCTCCCTCAAAGGAAGGATAAATTCATCCCCATTGTCTGGGCTAGTGAAGATAGAAAGTACAGGTACTATGCACTGTCTTGCCACTGAGCTGGAAGTCCTCCTAACAGATGTGGTTGTTTCCAAGCTCAAGTCCAAAGGAAATCAAAGGATCAAATCCTGCACGCCCCATGTTATGGTCTATCAGTGTTAGCATTATCATTACCATACAAGGAGACAGACATAAGTTCAGAACACATGCATGAAGGACTACATCAACATTTACTTGGAAGAGTAATACTCCAGCTTTCCTTTCAGTCCTGTTTTCTCAATAAACACAGTGGCACCAACTCTAAGAACAAATGTGCCTGAAAATTCCTTGCTTCAGGAAACATCAAACTGTACCACACTAAAGGACAAGCAAGTTCAGTGTCCTGTCTCCAAATGCAGCCATTGGCAGTTACTTCAGGAGGAACATACAAGGAAAATTTATTTCCCCAGCGTGCTCTTCTAATTTCTAGGATGTTTTAGCAGACATGGGGTTTGGCAGCAAATTGCTTTTTAATCTCTCAATTTAATTTTCTTGCCTGAATTTGACTAACTGTGTCTGAGCTCCTGTGAAGTTTTGAAATTCAGAACTTCTACCTGCAAGAAGCTCCAAAATTTAACTACACATTGTGCAAAACAGTACCTCCTTTGCTCACGCTGAGCCCCACCAATGAATTAATCTGACACACCTCTAATTCTAGTGTTTGAACTGATTCTTTCCTGTTCACCTTTGCCTATTCGCTTCTTCCTTATCCATCCAAGACATTACTCATTGCTTCAGACCTCTACAAGATTTCCAAATCAATCCTCTTGCTGGCCTAAAAGGTAACAACACATTTAGGAGTTCCCTCACAGCTGTCACTCCTTGTGGCCAAGACCAGACCTGGTGCTCTCCTCTGGACTGTTCCCAGGTGCACTGTACACGTTCCACAGCAGGGGGGATGAGAGCATGGCTACAAAAAGCATTCTGGATAGAGGCAACGTGATGGCACAATAATATTTTCTCTTCTGTTTTCTGTGTCTTTTGTACTCATGTCCAATGTTGACTCTGCTCATTTGACACGTTCTTATAGATTTATCTCCATGTACAGAAAAAACCACTCCTCCTGAATGAAAACAACCAGCAGGAGTCCAACTGCTGCATACATATAATTAGGATAGTTTTTCTCTATGCACACCAGATTAGATCTTTCAGCTCTTAATTTCATCTGCCACTTTATCATCCTGTCACTCAGTATGTCATGATCCAGTTCTGCAGCTTCCTGCTGCCAGCGTTCATTGACAGTGCCCAGGAAAAGCTACTACAATTAGAACACTTGCACAGTTGCTCATTGTGGTTTTGTGACACCACACACTCAGGTGTCAGTACAGAAGAGGAAGCCAGATGCAGCAACCTGCCCACCAAAAATTCTGCACAGCAAAGCAGCTCTGAAATCCCCAGTCACTTTTAAGGGTCACATCAGGAAGTTTTGGCAGCTGAAGTATGATGTTACACCCCTCTCACCACTCAAGACTAGTATTTGGGTACCACCCTGCCCCCACAGGTTCTTTCAAGCTGATGGTCTGAACCTATTCCTAAAGGAGGGATGGGCAGAAGGAACTGCTTCTCCCAAGAGAGAATAAATATAAGTCTAGAAAAAGAGGAGCACACCAGAGGGGACTCGAAGCAGGCAGGGCACACGCTCCCCATCAGCTTCAAGTTCCTCTTTCTGAAACAATCCCTGGTATTGGCAGCAAAACGTCTTGACAGCAAAGACACTGACTCCAGGGAACAGAGCAGTGCCAGCCTGTTAGTGGTGGCACCAGACTGGAGTGTGGCCCTGCACCAAACAGGTTTGATTTTGACACCCTCACTACGTTTTTACAGCCCCTCCACTAGAGCTGTATTTCACTAGCACCCAAGGGAGCTGTAATGACAAGACACTGGTGTGTTTACTTTCCTTGTTGGATGTGGACAGTTTTTTAATCAGGACATGAATCTGGGCACACTCAAAACTTTTTCCAACTCTCAAAGTTTTGGGGAAATAAAAGTTACACGGCCATGCTTGTTGCTTGTCACAAACCACTAGCAAGGACAAGGAAAAGATGTTTTACAATGCGGGTGGTGAGACACTGGCACAGCTTGCCCAGAGAAGCTGTGGATGCCCCATCCCTGGAAATGGTCAAAGCCAGGCCGGATAAGGCCGTGAGCAACCTGGTCTAGTGGGAGACGTCCCTGCCCAGCGCAGGGGGGCTGGGACTGAATGATCTCTAAGGTTCATTCCAAGCCCCCAGCATTCTGATTCTGTGAGAGCTCCCCGGCAGCCCAACTTTCCCTGCCGTGTCTCCTTTACTCAGCAGGCATCCGGGCCCGGCCCCGCGCTGTCCCCGGGACGGGGAACAGGCACAGTGGCTGTCCCGGGCCACAGGGCGAGCCTGACGCGGGCAACCCCGGCCTCAACCCGGGCACGGCGGGGCGGGAACGAACGGAGGGACCCGTTTGCCACAGGCCGCGCTGGGCCGGGCCCGGGCCCTGGGCCGCGGCTCCTCACCTTCACCAGCCACATGCCCGTGTTCTGCTTGGCGCCGGTGAGGTCCAGCTCGCCCTTGTCGCTCATGGCGAGGCAGCGGCCGGGCCGGGCCGGGCGGCGGACGAGACGAGCAGGCGGTGAGCGCGGCAGCGAAGCGCACCCGGCACACGGCGGCCCGTGAGGGACAAACCTCCTCCGCTCTCACTGCGCGGCGGGGCGGGCCCTCGCTGCCTCGGGGCCGCGGGTTCGGGTCCCCGCCCTGGCGGGGCCATGGGAAGGGGCGGGAATTCGTGGTGGCCGCAGGAAGTCCCAGTGTTGCGGGATATCCTGGGTTCGAAGGCGCCTGTAAGGATCATCACATCCAACCCCGACCCTGCACAGGACATGCCCAAGTGTCACACCATGTGCCTGAGAGCATTGTCCAAATGCTTCTTGAGCTCTGTCAGTGCTGTGCCCACTCCCATGGGGACCCTGTTCCAGTGCCCAGCCACCCTGTGGGTGAAGAACCTTTTCCTGATACCCAGCCTGAACCTCCCTCGACACCAATTTGAGGCCATTCCCTCGGGTCCTGTCACTGGTCCTGAGAGAAAAGAGATCAGTGCCTGGCCCTCCTTTTCCCCTTGCGGGGAAGCTGTAACTGCAATGAGTGCTCCCCTCAGTCTCCTCCAAGCTAAACAGACTATGGAACCTCAGCTGCTCCTCATACAGCATCCCTTCAAGACCCCTCACCATCGTCATTGCCCTCCTTAGGCCGCTCTCCAACAGCCTAATGTCCTTCTTACACTGTGGCGCCCAAAACTGCGCACAGGATTCAAGGTGAGGCAGCACCAGCGCAGAGCAGAGCTTGAAGTTTTTCCCTCCTGGTACCAGCAGAGTTGTCCCAGCATGCTGAAGAAAGATAGCAGCATGTAAATGATCTAGGGGACCTGGAGGAGAAGCCTGGAGAGAGGAGGCACTACCATGACAGTGCCTTTCTGTTTGGGAGAGAAATGGTGGCTAGAGGAGCAGCTCCTGTGAAAGGGGGCCTAAAGGCCACGAAAGTGAGGAAAACTCAGCTGGTGAATCACTTACTGGGAGTAAAAGTAAAGATTTAAGCTTAGCTTCCCAGAAAGGGAACTCACAAGGAAATGCTGGAACAGGCTGTCCGAAGATAGGACAGCATGTCAGACAGTGAAAAATCTCTATGTCAGGAGAGAGAAAGAGCCCATCCTGCTTTGAGATGGTGGTATTTGGCTTAGAAAAACTTAAGTCTTTATTTTACAGCTGTCTCTATCCCTGGGGAAGTTTTCCCCCTTTGCAGTTTAACCTTGTTATCTACCTTCTATCCACTGTGAGCACTAGAGAGACTTGGACACGCTGGAGATGCTGGCACAGTTTGCCCAGAGAACTTGTGGATGCCCTATTCCTGGCAGTGTTCAAGGCCAGGTTTGCCAGGGCTCTGAGCAACCTGGTCTAATGGAATGTGTCACTCTCCACTGCAGTGGGTTTCAACTAGTTGATCTTTAAGGTCCTTTCCAATCCAAACCACTCTATGATTCTATGGCACTGAAAACATTTTATTATCTTCCTCTCTTTACTTTATCCTTTTACTGAGATGTAGCCCTTTGATTTGCCTCCTTTCATATGAAATACCTTCAGTTTGTTCAATTCTGTCTCATAGGTCTATTTTCTAGACCTCTGGCTATGTCTATTGCTCTCTGAATTCCCCCCAGTACAAGTTTGCGTCCTCTTTGAAGCCTGGTTGTTCAATATTGAAGGTTGTATTCCATCTGAGTCTGTACCAGCAGCAAGCAGAGGGTTTTTTCTAGTGCAATATGCAAGAAATTGCTCATCCGGTTCACAAAAAATTATCTCAGTATTAAATCTCAGATATGAGAGTCTGCCTTTCTAATTATAGGCAGTCATCTAGGTAACCAAGGATGACAACATTTTTATATGTATCTGCAGCAATAATGGCTAACACTGAACTATTGACTAGGGTTAGTTACATTTAAAATTATTTACATTTAAAAATTGCTTTTGTTTTTACACTGGAACTGTGTTTGTCTGCAGAACTCATCTGGGAGGGTGGACAGATCTTATATTGTTAGTCAACTTCCACTGAAAATTCAGTTTTCTTTATGACAACCTTACATAGACCTACTAGAGGCTCCTCAAATGCTAATAAAAATGGAAATGGGTGCATCTCAACAATAGTAAGACCAGCCCCATTTTCTGGGACTGTCACCCCCAAATATTGTAGATCTAAGACCCTTTGGTTTTGTTCACCTGGAGAAAGAGTGGATCTACACAGACAAACACCATTGCTTTATCGTACGCTTTGCATCCTGCTCATAAGATCATAAAACAGTTTGGGTTGAAAGGGACCTGAAAGACCATCTAGTTCCAAATGTCCTGCCCTGGCAGCGACGCTTTCCACTAGACCAGGTTGCTCAGGGTTCCATCCAACCTGGCCTTAAACATTTCTAGGCATAAGGCATCCACAATTTCTCTGGGTGATTTGTTCCAATGTTTCACTACCCTCATTAGGAAACATTTCTTTCTGATGTCCAATCTAAACCTACCCTCTTTAAAACCATTGCACCTTGTCCTTTCAGTACAGGCCCTGAATAAAAAGTGTCTCTTTCTTTCTTGTGAGCCCCTTTAATGTACTGAAAGGCTGCAAAAAGATCTCCCTGGGGCTTCTGTTTCTCCAGGCTGAACATGCCCAAATCTTTCAGCTGTCTTCATAGGAGAAGTGCTCCAGCCCTCTGACCATTTTAGTTTCTTTCCTCTGGACCTTGTCTGATGGGTTGGTGTCTGCCTTATGCTGGGAATCCAGGCCTGGATGCAGTACTGCGGGAGGGATCTCAAATGTTCCCCTGGGATTAACACTGAATTAACAACAAAATTGTCCCTCTGCCACCACTCCCAGCTCAGTCTGTGTACTCAGATCGCATGCACCACTACATTTCAAAAGAAAAAAGCAGTGGAATGGATGTCTCTAATGGGGTGACATTTGCAGCAAAGCAGCGTCGCAGGGGTTCAGGTGGGCCTGCACTCCACCAGATGGATGGAGAGGAGTTCCATTTGCAAAGAGCCCAGCAGCAGGTTACACGAGCATGGCTGACCACCTCAGGACTCCTTACAGAGGGAATCCTTGAGGAGTCATCGCTCATATTCCAAGTGTGAATGAAAACAGCAAAAACCTCTGTAAAAAACTGACAATTGGGGTGGCTCAGCTGGCAACCCAGAGGGGAAGGCGGCCAGGCAGAGATCTCTCCTGGCTTCCTCCAGGCAGCCTTTCCATAGCTGTTTCCATGGAAACTGAATTTAAAGGGACAACAAGCAGGAGAAAGAGCTCATTTTCATTAATTCCTCATTTAAAATCTCAACCTTGTGTTTGCCAGGGACACATTTAGTGCCATGGAGGAGGACCCAGGGGCCAGCTGTTGAGCTGTGTGTTAGTCACCCATTTTCTTCTTGCTTGCATGGAAACAGATGTGTCTGAGAAGAGAGATGGCCAAATTCAGACTTGTACAGCCTTTAATTCTTTATCTTCCTCTTGTCCAATTTGGTGAGATGAAGAGTTGGAAGTGTCATCAGCAGCCACACAGAATTTCACTTCATCCATTTTAGGAATGGTCTAATTGATGCAGCCTGTGGTGCTCAGTGAAATCCAGCACAGCAGAAGATGCAAAAGGCCTGATGCTGCCCTGTTGAAGCTGATGGGAGTTTTGCATTTAGGAACCCATGTGCTTTCCTCAAAGCCCAGCAAGAACTAGGGAAGATGTGCTCCTGGGAGCTGGTGGTCCCACAGAATATCAGGGATGGACACCATCAGAGAGGTTTCCACATGCTGGAGGAGATGAGTGCTGCCCACATCTGGATGCTCCCTGAGTTCAGTGCTGTACACCAGAGCTGTGCTGGGCCTCCATGGAGTCAAAATATTTGGGACTGGAGCCAGAGCTGAGATCTGCTGCGAGGCACAGAGGGAATCTCCTGCAGAAGCTGGTTTTGATTTGGGAGTACTGAGCCAGGAAGACTATTCCACCCACAGCTGATGCTCTAACTTCACTCATTCCTGCCTTCTAATCTCCTCATCAACAAATTAAGGTGAGCAGGGAACTCATGCTGGAAGAGGCAAATTACTGGAGGGAGATTGTTATAACTTTGCTTGTCCTACTCTGTAACAAGTACAACACAGCATCAGCAGAGCTCTGCCTGCCAGCAAGGATCTCTCTATTCTGAATACCTGGATTTTCAGTCAGCAAAGACCTCATGGACTTACGAGGGTGCAAGAAACACTCAAATCTCACAACTACCATTATTGCTTGAACTGCTTGAGTATGAGGAGGGCAAACTTTTGCCATCTTCAACTGTAATGCATCATTCTCTTGTTTGTGGCACAGTTGGTCTGTGTAAGCTGGAAAGAAGAGAAGAAATAATCTGCAGAGATGAAAAGAACATCTGGGCAGATCATGATTATTTATTTTTGAATAAGTGAAAATAAATTCTGTGTAACTTACTCCAAAACAGAGCATGGCCCATCAAGCTGCATATCTATTTCCTGAGGCAGCAAAGAATTAGTGTGTCTTTTTAAGACAAAAATATATGTTGGAGATTTTGTGTTTTCAAACTGCTTTCGAGCAACATGTTAATAACAGACTTGTTTACTCCAAGCTGTTCTGTGGCAGAGAGTTGGAAAACATCACAGGGCTGAGCTCCTATTTCAGTACAATCCTAGGCAGTATGAAATCTTCAACATGGCACTTCTGCTGCAAACCACAACATAAAAAGGCAGTTCTGAACAGAGGGCAGCCTTCATTTATTTATTTATCATTTTTAATTCTTTATTTACAGCCATACATTTTTATCTATGCTATGTACTGGAGAACACTTAATTTTCACTGTAATGGCATTGCACCTCTGCTTGCAGTTCCAACCCATACCATGTCTTCCATCATATTGACAGTGTGCAGTAAATTTGAATGTAGGCAGCTTGTACTCTTGCTTGTTAGGATTTTCACCATATCAAGAAAGGAGTGGAAGTGGGGGAAGAGAGAAAATTGAAAGACACAACTGCAAATTAATTTTTTTCAGAGGAAGAGAACACTTGTCAGAGAATTTCAGGTGCTTGGTTTGAAGCTAATTTAAAATAATTTTTTTAATGACCATAAAATTGGCATTATCTCTTTAACTCAAGATAC